TAATATTAGCATTATAATACTATTTTTCGAGAAATATCTTTCTAAACTATTCTACTAAAACCGAATTGATCGCAAAAATAAAAAAATAAAATTATTTATTGTGTTTAAAGATAGAAAATATTAGCGGAAAGATCAAGAAAAAATACAGATAAACCAAATAAAATCTATCCCATGACTTTCCAAAGCGAGTAAACCTAACTGTGAAGGAATAAATAAAGAATATCCATATTAAATACAAAACGGAAAATAAATAATTTATCGCTGTACGATTTGATTTGAACCCATAAAAAATAATAACGAAATGATCAAAAAAAAATGAAACAAAATAAAATACTCCTTGCAAAGTACTTCAACTCGAAAAAGATTCCTGAAAATCAAATAAAGAAGTAAAGATAAATAAACAAAAACTTATATTACTGCGATCGGCAATCGCGAAATATAATATAAAAATGCTGCGTCTCTAACAAACTTATAGCTTTTCCTATTCCTTCCTAGACTGTAGTATATCCTTGCTTTGTTAATCAGCACTTGTAAGAGCATTAGATATTTGCATTTCATAATTTGACATTTTGTTAAAAAATAGTGTTCTAATTCAGCTTTGTTTTCCTCCTTTGTTGGTGTATCAACTAAACATAATTGAATTTTTTACTGCCAAATTAAAATATTATTTTAATAACTTCAAAGAACGTTAAGATTTAGCTATAATTCCCTTAATTTTATTAATAACCTTATTTAAGCGAATTAATTTGCTGAACTAATTATTAAAACATTATGCAATGTAACGTGACACAAACTATATAACTTAAATATTTTTTGAATTTTTTCGAAATAGCTTTATAAAACTCCTATTTAGCCAGTTTTTAACTTTTGGATGAAGCTGCAAACTTAATTATTCAGAAGTACTGCGAATAAATACAAGATGGTTTCTGGATACTTTGCGACACTTTTGTGACATATCAGATATAGTCAGAATAAGATTTTCATGAGTTAGAGAAAGCGATTGGATTGGTGGCCATTTTTAAATAATTTTTTTATAATAAGGAATTTAAGCACAAATTAAGTTAAGAAGAACCTAAATTGTTTGGTTATCGAAAAACTCGTTTATTAATGTGATAAAGTTCGTAATGTTTAGACGTCTTCTGATGTATTCGTTAGCTTTTTTTAAGAATCACATGCTAAAAATGTACTGTCTTGGACATAATAACTTTGACCTTATTACCAGAGAAAAGATGATGCTCTACTAAGACCAATGATATTTTAGCGGTATCCCGAAAATTTGAGAGGAATTCTCGTTTTTTATCGATCTCCAACAATTTTATTTAGGAATAATGAATATTTTTGGAATTGTTAAATAGAAAACATATTCATCATTTTTCAGAGAAAGTTTCATCGATCATTAAAAAATTCGTAATTTTCTTAGTGACATGAAATACTTCATAATCATCAATCTTAAAGATGCTACATTACTTCAATAAAATATACTTAACCAAGTTGAGCACAAACTTTCATAAATATGTTTAACATGGGTTCTAAACATGCTTCAAGCTAGTTTAGCACCTTTTTAATATGAGCTTCAATTATGCTTCAAACAAAGAGTACATATAATGAAAGGTTGGTTTTTTTATTTCTTCTTTACTTTTTTGTGTTATACTTAATTTTTTTCTTTTAGATCTTTGGTTCAATTGTACGTTTCCATTAAATACTGCCTTTTTTGGTTGTTTTTTTCTCTCATATTGGTAAGAGACTTTTTGCTACTATTTCAAGTCTTTTAAATATGAAAAGATTCTCAAAAATCATACGAATATTATTTAGCCCATTTCTAAAAAAAAAAAGGAAAATGTTAAAATTACGTCCTTAATTTCCTATTCATAAAAGCTGTAAGGTAAACCTTACCCTTAAAAACGATTCTAAGAGTTCGTCTAGTGTTCCGATCTGATTTTTTTTGTTCATGAACTGATCCGACCGAAACAGGATCGGATTTATAAAGTTTGATTTGGATCCAGTCCGAAATCCGTTCTGAACTGATTCAATCTGATCCGAATTTGATTTGAATCAAACTGATCAGAATCCGAATCTGAACCGAATCCGATCCGTATCTGGTCCGAGATCCAAATCTCTTAAAAAATAAAAAAGAAGGAACGTTAGAAATGTTCCCAAGACAAAGAAACCAAAGATATCTTACTCACCATTAGTTTCGCCCATTTCGAAGTCCAAGAGACCTTCCCCTACAAAATAAAGAAAAAAGAACGTTAGTAATATTCTCAAGACAAAGAAAATAAAAAAAAACCTCTTTAAAAATCTCATACACCTTCAGGTTCGCCCATTTCGAAGTCCAAGAGGCAGCCCTCACAAAAAAAAGAAAAAAGAACGTTAGTAACGTTCTCCGAAATAAAAAACAACAAAGAACGAACTTACCTTTACTTAATTCGTTCAGGGACCGTTCGTTCGGCTTCGTCTGTTCGTCCAGGTCCTGTTTCTATAAAAAAATAGAGAAAGGAACGTTAATTGCGTTCCCCGAAATAAAAAATTCCCAACTAATAAAAAATTTCAAAACGAACGAACTTCAATTACTTCAGGATCTATTTTAAGTCTCAAGTTTCTCTAAAAAAGAAAATAGAAAAAACGTTAATTATGCTTTAAAAGAGTTTCAAAAATTCCAATTCGTAAAAGTTTTACACTGTTGTAAGTTTTTTGAGGAGAATAAAAATAAAATGCTTTTTTTAACTACAGTATTTAATTATTGTATTGTATTATACATTTATACTGTATAATAATTAAATGGGACTCATCCATTGTAAATCAATTTACACGAGCGATCTACATTTCTCAAACGTTGTGATTTGATTTTTTTTTTCATTTATCTCAAAATAAAGAAATTATGAATTTCCCCTTTTTAACTGACGTACGCCCATATTTTGAAAAATTGTTTTACCTTAGCTTCATATACCATTAGTTGTATGCCGTCTTGGTAGTGATAATGCTAGATTTGTCGTCTCCAGTTTTTATCATGTAATCTTAAAAAAACCCAGGATTAGACCACTAAATAATCTAGAATTATGGTATGTAAAAGAGTTGAATGATGATTTAACAAAAGGAATGATTAGTGACTTTGGTCTAAGTGAATTACTATTACAAAACAATGATTTTTTCAAAGAATTTGAAAATTTCTGTATGGCTGATAAATTGTCAGTATATGACTTCCCTGAATTGTATAATTTCATTAAGACCTGAATCTACTTTATCATTATCCACCAACAGCAAGTTGAAAGGCGTTTCACCAAATTAGATCTGAAAACATATTCAAATATGTCATTATTAATCAAGCAGTCTAAACTTCATTTATCCTCTAACAAAATTGATAAGAAAATTTATCAGAAGGTTTATAAGAAATAAAGGAAAAGCAGAAGAAAATTCTACTTTAGGAAACTCATTTATCACAATTAGAGTCTGATATTGCTTTAAATCATTTTAATAATTTGTTATGTTAATAACCAAAATATTATGTTAATAAATTAAAATATTTTAATGCTAATGCTATCCCTTTAATGGTAAAAAATTGCAGGCAAATTTGCCTGCAATTTTAAACAATTTTAATTAATTTTTAACATAAAT